CGCTTGGCGGGGCCCAACTGTCGCCTCGCGGAGAAGATAAGAACCCTCGGTATCACTGACACTGAGAGAGATCTTACGATACGATGGGATTGTCTAGCTACCCTGCTCACTAGGCTTAAGTATCTACGGGAGTTTGACTGGAACGGCCCTATAGCATTGCCGTACTACCTCCTTGAGATAATAGCTTCTCAACACCCTCAAGCTTATCTGAACATCTCTGTCTGGAAACCCATTCCCAGGCATCGGTCAAACGTGGGTCGTCTGAACGGCCATGTCCTAGCTCACCGGATTGGTCTCCAAATAAACACATTTGTCTATCGCTACCATGGGGTACAGAGACTTACCGCCGGCTTCAAGGAGAACCTCGTTGCCTGGTTGGCGAGGAAACACACGCTAACGACGCTGGCTATCCTCAACGAGGATCAAGAAGATATCGAGGCTCTTCCACAGAGGCTAGAGTTATTTCGCAACAGCAGCTTTCCTTGTATCGACGAGCTATTACTTCATACTACCATTTTCACCTGCGGTGAATTGCAGCTGTGGGCTTCGAGAGGAAAGTGGGACAAGCTTTCTCTTCTACATCTACACAATATACATCAGCTTCGTACGTACCTTTGTTTTCCTCTAAAAACTTGCTCATGTACTAACCCGAAAATGCAGGGCACTTCATAGGCCTGGCCCCTCAGCTCGAGCACCTCAGTTTCCATTTCGACTATCGCATAGACACCAGTGACGACGAGGCTAAGCTAGTCAAACTATTGAAAGCCAATCCTCTGTCTCAACTACTTCATGTTTCTTATAGCGGTCAAGCGCAGTTTACTCCACAGCCCCTCTCTCACACCCGTCGCGCGGTTCCTTTCATAATACTGGAATCAAATCCCAAACTCAAGAGATTACACTTGACCCGAGAGCTCGATTGTCCGCGTGGAGTCAGGAAGCTCTTCACGCCAACTGCGGAAGAAATACGAAGGGTTCGGACACTCTGCCCCGATCTACAGGTACTCAAACTCAACGTCGATCTATCCGCGATAACTTCAGAGTGTGCAGCTGTGTTCGCAGAACTCTCTCTGTTCAAAAACCCGATCGCGCTGGTATTGTACATGCGACTACAGTTCTTTCACTCGAAGCTCTACGGAAAATTTTGCAGGATGTGCAAGATCCTCTTCGACACCGTAGTGGAAGAGCGTAGAGGGCTGGGTCTCCCATGCCAAAGGCCTTTCCGAATGCAATTCCTCGCTATGAGGATAGATAGACGTTCAGAGGGAGAATGGGTCCAGTCTAATTGCACCTTTCAGCTCAGTGACTCTGGCGCGTCGTTCCAATGCGGAAACATCCCTGATAAAAGGAAGAAGCTGGACTTGCTGTCGATGGAGCAGCTTAGAGATAAGAGCATGACTCAGCCGCTGTTTGACAGAATTTGGGATCTTAAGGGGTACAAGAAAGAGATACAAAGACGCGAAAGATACAAGTATATAGAGCATGGCTTTGCTGAAGACTTTACTTTGCACAATCTTTGGGCGTAGCTGATCTGGATTCGGCTAGTGCGTCGCTTTCTCGAACGAGCGGAGGAAATTTGGAGGAGGAGTTCGCGTCTTTTACTACATCTATTTACATCCTCGACTTATGTTATGCGATTCAAAATGCTGGGGATGGAGATTAGGCAAAATACATGGTGAGAGTTATGTAACATTCATCGTATCTTGCTGCCTACGCGCTATCAAATCTTAACAAATCCATAGTCACTCTGATGATGTATACTCCTGCCTTGAGATTTTAAATAGTTCTAGTTTACAAGTGGATATGACCCACAATGCGAACGGACGAGGTCAGCAGTATCTTAGTGAATGCGTCAGGCGTTTGTGTAAGTCCTTCACAAGCAGACTGCGACATGGTACCAGGCAGATAGGAAGCTCTGACCCTCTAGCAAACGGCCTACCGAGAGCTCCGGTCTTACTACTAACTCCAGTCTACTTCTCCCCAAAGCCCGCCCACCATGAAGCTCGGAAGGTCAAGAAACGCTCGACAGCCGATGCAAGCGCGACTTCTCGAGCGACAAACTAACGAGATTCTCGACCTCGTTCTCTCCGAAGTACGTCTCCAAAGTACACAGGATCTTCTCAGCATCTGCTTGGTGTCGCGACAGTTTTACATTCTCACCGTCCCTCACCTATATCGAGACACCACCCTTGACCTTGGTCGAACTTCACATCTGCGTTTGCTCCGAAGGCTCGAACGGCCGGGCTCTCATGTGTCAAAGACGATTCGCCATCTTTGTGTGGTGTGTGCGGATGACAAGCAAGTCGGTCATCAGGACAAGGTCCAAAGAGTTTTTGACGGGTTGGTGAATCTGGAAACGTTGAATTGGTGTAGTCCATTCGACATGCCAGTCTCCATGCTCGACGCGTTGCACACACGTTTCTGTGGAGCACGACTGACTATTACATACTGGCGAGAACCAAAAGAGACTCCGGAATCGGGCGCTCAACCGCTGCTGGTGCCAAATTTGTCTATCATGGATACTTCTGCATCTATGATCACTAGCATGAGCATCATTTTATACGAAAAAGATGAACACCAAGGTAAATTTTGGGCGGGATTCCGGAAGAGCCTTGTTGGCATGGTTGCCAGAAGTACCGCTCTTACGTACCTCCGTATCGTCGCGAAGAGCATAGGCGACAACCGTTGCACGACTATATCGCAGTTCATGGACGCACATACATTGCCGAAACTGGATACTTTAGTTCTAAATGTACGGGACTCTCCCATCTTTTCGTCTGACGAGCTACAGCATTGGAGTTCTCAAGGTGGCTGGGAGGACCTTACATTCCTCAGCTTGTATCACATCCAGTCGCTCATACCCTTTGTCGGGCGAGCACCAGAGTTGGAGAGTCTGACCTTCCTCCCTCGCGACGGCGAGGATGCCACAGAGCTTGAGTCGCGTCTCAACGACTTCGAAGGCCCTTCTAGATTCCCATCACTCCGCCAAGTCAAAGTCCGGTCTCCCTGGGACAACGGTCTTCCTGATCAATACGCTGGCCAAGTTGTACCTTGGTACTTGCTTACGCTGCTGCCAATGGACCAGCTCACAGGCCTGAACATTACCCGGCCTTGGGAAGTCGCAGACATCTCTAGTGTTCCACAAGCACAGGATATTCGAACAATCCGAATGTCGTGTCCTAATCTGGAGGCATTAGAGTTAGACATCTGGCTACCCTACAGGTCGAGCTCTGGCTCACTATGGCCGGCAGACGTTATTAAGGAGTTGTCGGCGTTCGACAAAGCTGTTCAATTATTAATCTATCCAAGAGGGTGCCACCCGGTTGGCGAAGCTCGACTACTAAGAGCAGTGCGCAAAAGGCGTTTCAAGCTTCGATGTTCAGCCGAAATGGCGTGGTGCTTCTGGAAGGAGCGCCGACGCCAGAGGGTACTTCACGAAATTCCGTTCTCGGTTCAGTTGATACACTCGTTGCGTTACGAATCAGAGGAAGCGGAAGCGACCAAAGTTCTGGATATCGACCATCTTATTGAGATTCGCAAATGCTTTCTGGGTGTTTACTGTTGTCTCTACCGGTATTCTTACAGTACTGTCAACCGGGTAAGCCTTGACAGGATGAGCATAGCAGATCTAGAAGAAAAGACGAAGTCGCGATGGAAGTGCTTATGGGGAGATCAGGCACTGTGCAAGCGAGAAATACGGCATCGTGACAACCTTGGTGTAGCAGCACCAGGAGGCTACGAGAATGATTCCATGCTCTACGACATCTTGATGCAATCGACCGTCGAATGAAATGGAAAATGGCGGGGAGTGCGACACACCTTCGAGCATATCTTCTTCGGAACAAAGCTCTTGTGATTTGCGCATTATCCTGTAAACAAATTTGCTCAACGTTGCCATCTCGACTAGGATAGTGAGACACGTCAGCGTAGACAAGACACAAAGAACAAGACAAGAACAATGCGACATTTAAGCATCTTCACATGATGAATGAAGGAACAACAAGAAATGTCTCGTGCACTGGAACAATCGAACCGACAAACTAACTCACATCAAGCAGCATCGAGAATGTATGTGTTAAACACGCCTCCCAGAACGGTCGACATCCGTACTGCAGCGACTACTCACCATATCAACGCATTGCCCTAACACACCCAACAATGTGCTACATCCTCGTCTCAACCTGTTCCTCCCACCAACCCCACACATGCGCCCACATCCTTCGCACCCGTTACACACAATGCAGCCATGCCGCGCTACACAGCCTAGACCCGAATCGCTGTCCATCGCGAATGAAGAGACGGCAGATCAGCGATGGAGGGATCTGTGAGATGTGCGAGGACAGAAGGAGTAGTCTGAGTGTGCTGCCGAGGAAGAGTTTGGTGGACAGCTTAGAAGGGTTGGAGAGTAGGAAGCGGAGGTTGAGCTGTGCGATGCAGGGTTGGCCTGTGGATACGGATGGGGAGACTGAGAGTGTAGGAGACGAGGAGGATGGCGAGGATGAAGGGGTCGTGGAAGCCAGGCATGAGAATGAGGGGCGTGGGCGAAAGAGGAGCTTGGCGCTTTCCATGCAAGGGAAGAGCAATGCGAACCCCGTCTGTAGTGCTCCGGAGCCACCCACGAAGAAAACGAGGAAAAGACGCGCCATCACAAAACGACGATAGAAGACACGATTCAAAAGTAAAAAGCATACCATTGCACCAACTACCAACCCAAAACCCACATGCAAGTATAGACTATCCAAAAAGACAGGGAAGGGGGTATACAAGAATAGTGCAAGCAAGGAGTCCAACAAAGAAAGTCTCATGACTGGTACCCCTCACCCACAAATGTATATATGTTTGCTCATCCCCATTCAATCGATTGCTCATCATCCCTCATCTCTCATTGCTTTCCCAACATTAAGTCGTTGATCCATCCGTCGTATCCAAAGGAGCCAAGCACGCCGTTCTAGAAGTACTTACATGAAATTGTCTGTTTAACAAGGAGGACGTCGTGAGTTGTACTAAGCGTTCTCCTGGTTCTGCTGTGGCTGGTTGGCGCCAAAGAGTCCGCCGAACCAACTTGCGCGGTTGGCGGCCTTGCGGGCCTTTGAAGCTTCTTCTTCGTTCTGGACGAGGCGAAGAGGTCGCATGCCTTTACCCGTCATAGGACCGGTGGTCTCACTGCGTGGCAGCTTTTGCTGTGGTGGGGATGGTGTATCGACGTGGCTTGCCGAGGAAGACTCTGTCCGTGTGTCCACCTCTTTGTCTTCGGGGATGGGGCCTTGACCGGACGGCGCCCTCGAGATGACTGGCGGACCGAAGAAAGAGTTGCGGGGCGAGACCATACCTGGCGAGACCATACCTGGCGATGTTGGGTTGCTTGTAAGGCCCGGAATCTCAGAAGTTGAGCGACGGTGGTGGTGGCTGCCGCTTGGGTGTCGGCCTGACGTGCTTCGCGTCAAAGGAATGGAAGGAGCAGTGGCTGGATCCTCATGGGCACTCGTCTGGTTGGGCGCGGCGGGAGGTCCCATCATGGACAAAGGGCGTGGCTTGCGGTTTCCGCCCATGGCAACAGACTTGGCGCGCTGGAGGAATCCTTGTGGCTGATCGCTGTCTTGGGGAGGCGGCGGTGGTAGCTCCTTGTTCTTGTTGGGGCCTCCGGAGCCTTCGTTCTCGACATCGTTTCCTAGGACCGATTCGAAGCCCTGGTGTGTGAGCAAACGACCGATGATCTTGTTGATGTAGAGGGTGAGGGCCTGGTTCTGCGCCTTCATGCTGCTGAGCTCAGTTTCGAGCTTGCGAACGACTTCAGCATCGCCTTCCTCGGCGGACTGAAGTTCGTCAGCCAGACTGGTTGAAGGGCCGCTACGGGACGGTGCGCGGTCTTCGGTGTTGGATGTCTCGCGCAGGAAGTCGCCGCGGCTCAAGTCTCCGTTGAGCGTCTTCTCGCCGAGCAGAAGCTGGAAGCTTTCGTTGTCTTCCATGAGTCTGGCGTTGGTCATGCGCGTCTCGAGCAGTTGCTTCTCTAGTTCGCGCATACGTCCGCCGCCAGCATTCTCTACCTCCAACACCTTGACCTGGTATTCGGCGAGCTCGAGACGCAGATCTTCGATGATCTTGTCCTTTTGGTGGATGAGCTTCGAGTTGTTTCGCGAGTCGCTGCGCTTGACCGAGTTGGGTGGTGCAAAGGATGCGACGTTCTCGAGGTTCTGGGAAGAGTTGGTGCGGGATGGGTTGTTGCGGAAGCTTGCTGCGAGCTGTGTTAGTATCTGCATGACTCCTACGTTGATCCGATGAGTGCAACTTACAGGCTCGGGATAGGTGCTGCTCCTCTTCAGCCTCGCCAGTGGGCATGTTCTTATTTGCCATGGTCTCCTTTAGGCGCTGGATTGTGTTCTGCATTTCTTCCTCCCGCGACTGCGTCTCCTCCTTCTCCTTGATAATCTGCGCACGTTCGGCCTCGTAGATGCCCTCGAGCTCGCGATGTTGGCGTGTCAGCTCGCGCTTTACGTTCTCCAACGACTCGACCTTCTCCTCTTCTTCGTGGGCACGTTCTTCAAGCTTAGCCTGCTCGGTGAGAGCATCGTCGAGACGAGAGTTGAGGATCTCGACCTGCTTCTGTCGCTCCTCTGCCTCGCTCTCTGCCTTTTGCAGGCGTTCCTTGAGATCTTGGAGGAGAGCAGCCTGCTCGTCTCGGGCGTCGTTGTCGGCAGCATCGGCCTGTGAGGTGCTCAGATTCGAGGATGCGGCGGGCTTCTTGACAGCTGCGCGCGCTGAGACTGGCGTGCCATTGGCGCCTCCACGGACAGAGCGTGTTCGTGACACTGGGGTGGTGCCATTCGTAGTGGGCGTCGAGGAGCGGGGAGTGCGGTTGGCAGCTCCAGGAGACGAGGAAGTCCTGGTGTTGACTTCGCGACGCGGGGTGCCCGGCGGCTTGGTTGCTGCGGCGGCCGACATGGTGTTTGAGTGTTTTCTTTGTCAAAGGTAAAGTGTGTCCCAGAGACTCGGGGTTGACAACGTCGCTCAAACAGGCGGCGGTTGCACAAGAGGTCCGATTCTGGGGCGATCAGCGAGCGAATGCGCCTCGGGATGTGCTGATCACTGGGGCTGTGCGTGCGGCTGATTGACGTGTGGAAGCGGACCCGTTCAGCTGCAATGTTTTGAAGCTGGATATGCGACACACCACGTCTACGAGTGCAAAACGTGGAGTAAGGAGACGGGCAGCGTTGGACCAGTAGTCGAGACGGGTTCCCACCGTTAGAGTTGGCCCATAATCTCCGCTACCACGCCTTCCCTGCCCTGCATTAGCCCGAGATTACTCGCACGTGACAGAGCCGTTCTCCGGGAAACGACTCCCTACGCTGTAACTTGTAGTACGCCATAGCGAGCCCCTCTCCGCTGCACTCATTGCGCTCGGTACTGCCTGGTTTCAAGTTCATGTCAGTAATCTGGTCTAGCAATCAGTGGGTTTTCGCGACTTTTCCAGCCACATGTGGCGAAGTGAGCTCGGGTGGTTGCCACGCCTGTCCTCGCGAGACCCTCTTCCACGTTCGTTCCACGCACATATTGGGCACGTGACCATTCAGCAAGTCATCGTGAGCACATCCTACGCTGGAGAAGTTCGTTACTCCGCTTCCTCTGCATTTAATCGATCGGACGGCTTGGCCGTAAACGGGCGTACAGAATTTCGAGTCCAGGCCGTGTAGCATCGTCACCTTGAAGGCTGTCAGAGTAGGTGTTACAAGCACTAGCTTCGAAAGCGCTGTTGGTTGTGGTATAGCCTCAGAGCGTTCTAGGATTGTCCAATGCGCTGCAGCGCCTCGAGACCACAGGACTAAACTTTGATCAAGTACTACAACTGAAGGCCTATATTACTATCAATATTATCGCGATTACTGATCACACAGCGTGCAAGACTTACCATATCTCAGGCAGATACAAGAACTAGGTACTCTCTTCTTCTGGTATGTGGGCGGTCAAATGAGATGCAACAATTTGACACGCCCCACGGTACACGGCTGGTACTCAATCTCTTGGCTCGCGATAGGATAGTCTCTGTGGGTTCGCAACACCATCTCCAGGAACAAATTAGAATGCTGATTTACCTAGCGATACTCTGGTCTATTCGTTGCTGCAGAGCGCGTACTTGCATCACTCGACGAGCTTGAATTGGATGCGAGGCTAATACACACGCGCACTCATGTCCGAAAGGCAGAAGGTCGCTTGTGGCCACCTGGGCATGTTGCTTTAACGTTCGTGAAGGCGTTCCAGGTGTGGCTCTGTTCAGGCCGCATAATTGGCCTCCCAGGCCGTTATCTTGTCGGTGCGACGTTCAGTGAATCCTTCCCGCCGCGTCGGGTGACGATCCAGACTGCGACGAGCATGTTTGGTGTGACCAAAGACTACTATTCCAAGGTTCGTTGACGCCTATATGTGTTCGCAACAACGCTTGTCGACCTCATCTCCGCGGGCCACCATCATTTTACTTTGTATCGCTCACCAGACGCTCACCGCTACAACTGGTATTTGGAACGCAATGCCATCTTTTGTACGCTCGGGGCGGTGCTGATCCATCACATGATCTTTGCTGCTGTAGCCCTACAGAGCCGTGGCTCCACCCCGAGTAACATCGACGATACGCATCGTCGCCACCTAGGTACCTAGACGACTGCGAACGAGAGCATCCGTTCGACGGTTCGGTTATCTCTGCGGCACGGTGCGTGTTGCTATTTAGGAACAGGCTGAATCCGTCAATGCTTGGAGTGTGATGAGATGCTTTCATTCTGCAAGCTGACCACCAACAACATGGCATTTGGGCGCTTGCACAGGGGAAAGGTGCTATTTTGCGTACCGTCAAGCCAAGCGTCCTTACGCCTAGTCGTGGACTTGGCAAAATGGACCAATCCGAATTACCAATCCGGGGCTGGACCACGAACATAGGTAAGCACCGACGATGGATCTACTTCGGGTGGGCGACCATTCTGGAGAAGAATGACGGCACCGGCTTGGCGCCGCGCAACTAATCGGATGTTTCTGTGTTTAATGGCGCGGTTTGGGATTCGGCGACAGCCTGTTGAAGGCGCCGAGAGGCAGTAGGTTTCTCGACTCGATAACATAGCTCCGGGATGTTTCTTGGCTTTTGTGGCACAGCAATCCACATCAACTGAGATATATCGAACTTGCAGTTTTTCTGCTAGCAATTGCCGCTCAACATAAAAGACGGCAGTCTAGTGTAGGCTTGAGTTCTTCGCCGGCTGGGGCTTGCAGGGGTCACCAAAGGCGCTGATCCCTATTCAAGAAATCTCGGCGTCGGTGCGGCGCAACGACGTACGGCAGTGTACGACGGAGGATTCCCCCAGAGGTGAAGACGGTAGTTTGGCCGGTTGTGGACTTACGCGTGCATCATTTACATGCAGCCGTTTCGATCCACCTATGGCTTGGGACCCATACAAACATCCCGAGGCCTCTAATAGACCAGTCGTGAGTGGACACCGCTAGCCTGGGAATTTCCCAAACCTGCCATGATGCTCGTCTGCTCAAATGCAAGTATTTTCATTTGATAATCCAGGACTGCAGAGTACCAGGGTCCAAGCTAGCAGCTTTAGAAGGGTACAGGTACCAAGCACGTCTGTTGGCGTGACCTAGAGACGCAGGGTGACAGTATAAATCGCCTAGGTCCGCCCCTCTGCACTCTTCACGTCTCACAGAACATCTCCTACTTCAAGATGAGGACTCAAATCTTGACAGCGGTCACTGCACTGCTACATGTTGCCAATGCAGGATGTCCCTACATGGATGGCGAGTCTGTCGTTCGTCGAGACGACAGCCCCCAAGCTATGTCCACGGATGAGTTCATGGCCCAGTATGAAGTCGACGACAAAGGTACCTACCTGACCAGTCCCGTTGGAGGGCCAATCGAAGACCAGAATGCTCTCAAGGCTGGTGAACGCGGCCCATCACTACTGGAGGACCAGATCTTTCGACGAAAGGTGAGTTGTTTACATAACAACATCAGTCATTAGGATACATACTAACTCCACATCTCTAAAGATCATGCACTTCGATCATGAGCGCGTTCCTGAGCGTGCTGTTCATGCTCGTGGAGCAGGTGCCCATGGAACCTTTGTTTCCTATGGAGATTGGTCCAACATCACGGGAGCTTCTTTCTTGAACGCGCCCGGCAAGGAGACCTCCACCTTCATTCGATTCTCAACTGTGGCTGGTTCGCGTGGATCGGCCGATACAGTCCGAGATGTGCACGGCTTCGCTGTGCGCTTCTACACTGATGAGGGCAACTTTGGTAAGTATCCAGCCTGAGCACCTCGAGAAGATTTAATCTTGCTGACGCCGCCTCCCTGTAGATATTGTTGGAAACAACATCCCTGTTTTCTTCATTCAGGATGCCATCAAGTTCCCAGACCTGATCCATGCGGTAAAGCCCAAGCCCGACTCTGAGATTCCTCAAGCGGCAACGGCTCACGACTCCGCATGGGACTTCTTCAGTCAGCAACCATCTTCCATGCATACCCTTCTATGGGCTATGTCTGGTCATGGTACCATCCGAAGCTACAGGCACACAGATGGATGGGGTATCCACACATTCCGATTCGTGACTGACGCCGGAAAGTCCAAGCTGGTGAAGTTCCGCTTCAGGTCCCTCCAAGGAAAGGCTTCGCTCCTTTGGGAAGAGGCGCAAATGGCTGCTGGTATGAACGCAGACTTGCACCGACAGGACCTCTTCGACTCCATCGACAAGGGCTACTTCCCTGAGTGGGTGGTAAGTGACTCCAACCTTTGTTCAGAAGCGATGATAGCTAACTAGATTTCCACAGTTTGAGGCTCAGATCATGGAAGAGGAAGATCAGCTTCGATGGGGCTTTGATCTTCTTGACCCTACCAAGATCGTACCTGAGGACATTGTGCCTTTCACACCTCTTGGAAAGCTGACCCTGAACCGCAACCCACGCAACTACTTTGCCGAGACTGAACAAATCATGTTCCAGCCAGGACATCTGGTGCGCGGAGTGGACATCACTGAGGACCCGCTCCTGCAGGGAAGAATGTTAGTATAATGCCTCTTATACACACTTGAAGTGAGACTGTTACTGACGCATGTATAGGTACTCATACCTTGACACGCAACTCAACCGCAACATGGGATCGCCCAACTTCGAGCAAATTCCTATCAACCAGCCTCGCGTACCGGTTCACAACAACGAGAGGGACGGTGCCGGCCAGATGTACATTCCAATCAACACCGCCGCCTACTCCCCTAACACTCTCAACGAAGGCTCCCCGAAGCAAGCGAACCAGAGCACCGGTCGTGGGTTCTTCACAGCACCAAGCCGCGGAACCAGTGGGAAGCTTGTCAGAGCCGTCTCAAGCACCTTTGCCGATGTGTGGAGTCAGCCCCGTCTGTTCTTCAACTCCCTTCTGCCCGTTGAGCAGCAGTTCGTCATCAACGCTATGCGCTTCGAGACCTCGCAACTGAAGAGCGAGGTTGTGAAGAACAACGTGCTCATCCAGCTCAACCGCATCTCTCACGACATTGCCGTAAGGGTTGCGGAGGCGTTGGGCATGACCGCACCGGAAGCCGACGATACCTACTACCACGACAACAAGACCATTGGCGTCAGCGCATCTGGTGAGCCGTTGCTCAAGCTCGATGGACTCAAGGTCGGCTATCTTACTAGCGCGGGTTCTTCCGATGACAACGCAAAGGCGTTGAAGTCAGCTCTCGCTGATCTCAATGTTGGCATGACTGTCGTTGCCGAGCACCTGGGTGCCAGCATTGACCAGACCTACTCTGCAACTTCCGCAATCCAGTTCGACGCCATTCTCGTCGATGGCAGCGCAGAGAGCCTCTTCGCGACCATCCCTAGTCTCGCTAATTCCAATTCCACAACTGCGCCCAGCCGCAACGCGACCGCCAGTGCCCGTTCGACTCTCTACCCTGC